TCCATTCCCCCTCCATTCCATCCCCATCCCCTCTATCCACTCCATCCCCTCCTGGCCCGGGGGTCCGGCGGAGCGCACCGCGGTAAAGCTCCTCTTTGTTCCCTCTCGCAGAGCACTACAAACACCACTGGTTCCCCCTGATGCCTTCCAAGGGCTCCGGGTACCGCTGCATCAGGATCAACCATAAGATGGACCCCTTGATAGGAAAAGCGGCGGGGATGATCGGACTGAGCCACGAGAGGCTCTTCCAGCTCTTACCCAGCGAATTAACTCTGTGGGTCGACCCCTTCGAAGTGTCCTACCGCATAGGTGAGGATGGGTCTATCTGTGTGCTGTACGAGAGCCCTCAGCCTGGGGGGAAGGCGGCCAAACAGCTGGAGAGCAGGACCAGTTGCAAGGAGGAGTGGAGAACTGGCAGATCCAGCCCTTCCAAGAGTTACAACATGATGACGGTTTCTAGTTAAAAGCAACTCTTCCTTGTACAATGATGTATGTATCCCAGTCTCATGGTAAAGTTAGATGTAACTGAGCTTTTTGGTTTTTTTTATTATTTTTTTTTCACCCTATAGTCATTAATAAGTCGTGGTAGTACTGCCAAGTTCTTTGTGGGCAAGGGCTAATGTATACAGCAGTTTTTACACTGCATGTTACTTTCTGGATTGTGTCCTGTAAATGCACTGTACAGTCGGTGGATCGTTTTACACATTTATATTTTCAAAGAAGTTCTGGCTATTTGTAATAAAAAGCAATATTGTAGCACTCTTTATGATGGATTTTAGTCAAGATTAGCACTTACTAAAAAAAACCCCCACATTCTGCAATTTGCAGAGCAATAACATGAAGGGAGGTGGGAAACAGATCTAACAAGCTGCACATAAATCTTGTGATTTGTCTGCACAGGCTTCTCTCAGGGTCATTCAAGTTTGGCTGCGAGGCACAAATCACAAAAGTAACTCTTATTTTTCCTTTTTCAAAGCATGCATTTATTTGAGGGATGGATTCCATCGTACTCCGACGTTTAGCAAAAAGAATTGGGGAATTAGTCTGTCTTGTTATTTGTAGTTATTTCAGTAGAAGAATAAAGACTTGCTCAAACTGCTTGTTTTGGTTTTGGTTTTTCACCCCCCCCCCAGGCTTTTAGCGTTGCTCTCAAGCTCATTCTAGCCATTTTTAATCATTGCAGAAAGCTTTGTAGGTAGAAGGGTGTAGCTCTGAACATTCATCTTTATCTCAGATCACAACAAAACAGTTTTGGTAAAGCTTGCTGGCTGCGTGTCTTGAGCTGAATAATCTCTGTAGAGATGGGTGGGTGTTTTGATACTCTATCGAACTGAATGGAAGCAAAAGTACTCTTCTGATATTTGATCTACAGCAAAAGGTGCTTGAGTTTATTGGGAAATGGAGTTTGTGTTTAAAACTCCAACTTGATGCTATGTAGGAAGCTTGAGTGAAAGTTTGAGTGATCAATCACAGAATCAGCTGGGCTGGAAAGGACCTCTGAGATCATCGAGTCCAACCTCTGAGCCAACCCCACCTTGTCACCCAGACCATGGCACTGATGCCACATCCAATCTCTTCTTAAACACCTCCAGGGACGGTACCTCCACCCCCTCCCTGGGCAGCCCATTCCAATGGCTGAGCACTCTCTCTGTAGAACTTCTTCCTGATGTCCAACCTAAACCTCCCCTGGCACAGCTTAAGACTGAGCCCTCTTGTCCTACTGCTGGTTGCCTGG